GGGCAGCTCCTTATGGTAAGCGGGGCCCAGCAGTTTCCGGGGTGACCACAGGCCGGGAGGGCCACTGCTCTGTACATTCCGGAAGCAGTTTGTCTTTCTGTGACTCTGTTATAAGTCAGTCATTTATAAAGGCTATCATCCGTAAATTGTCATACCATAGGGTAACTTAACAAACACTAGCCGTGACAAACCAGTCAACACTGGCCTGGCTTGAGTAGACGTTAGTACTGAACATTACTTTGCACTTGCTGTCTGTCTCAGAACATTCACCCCACCCACCCTCTGACACTGAGATGGCTGGTCAGGTTTTAGATCAGCCTCCAATGGGATCACCTTCCTGTTACTTATGAGCTGCCAAAAGCCATCACAATACATGTGACTGAGGGCTGCCAGCCACACCAAGGTAGAAGTCAGCCATGACTATACTCCAGAATCACATGACCCCAGCTCATGCGTGTCACATGCCATTACCATTCACCAGGGACAAAAGACTCCTCTGACACAGGGGGCTGCCACTCACAGGAGCCCTCTGTTGCACCACACCAAGGGATGCAGAGTGGCCCTTGCTTTGCAGGCTTGTGTCATGGGGATGGCCTTCTGGGCAGAGAACAGAGACTGGGCACTCTCAGGGCTGGTACAGCAATGATCCAGGCCTGGCTGTGCAGAGCCCAATGTGCCACTGGGCCAATGAGTGGACACTGATCATTTTACCTGGTAAGTGGAAGGTGTGGGGGGCAGCAGCAACTATCAGTTGCCAACACCGTGCCACGTGCTCAGACCTCCCCACAATGCACCAATGGAAGGATCTTGTTAGCCCACTGTGCAGGAGATGAAACACAGGGAGAAGTCCCAAGTCCACGGTGAGGACACTGCTGGTTGGCTGTACCCTCCCCTTCTGGGGACACAACCCTGGGAGAGACTCCTGTTCTGTCCAACCTAAGAGCTCAGAGCTGCCCACACAGGGAGGACAGAGGACATCACACTCCTACATGGAGGCCGTGGTCCCTAGAGAGACACCAAAACGCACAAAACCACTCAGTGGAAACCTCACCAATTCAGCCAAGTCCAACCCAGCAGAAATCTGTAAAGAGGAATTACAGGCTTTGGTTTTGCTCTTGCTTTTGAGACAGAGTCTGAGTGTGTAGCCTTGCTGGTCTGGAACTCTCTATGTCGGCCAGACTGGCCTCGAACAAATAGAGATGTGCCTACCCTGCCTCCTGAGTACTGAGATTAAAGGTATACACCTCCATCTACCTAGTGAGTTCCAGGACAGCTGGGGCTACAGGGAGACCCTGTCTCAAAAAGACCCCCCCCCAAAAAAAAAGGTATACACCTCCACACTAGGCCCTAGGTTTCTTTTAATTGAGCAACTACCATAAGCTCATGTTGTCTAGAATCTAGTGAGCTCATTTGTCACTTTGTATGTATAAACACATGTGTCTGCATGTGTGTGGAGGCCAGAGGTTGATAGGTATCTTATTTAATCACATTTTTTTTTTTGAGACTGGGCCTCTCACTGAACCTGGCTCTCATCAATTCAGCTGGACTAGCTGGACAGCAAGCCCCGGGATCCTCCTGCCACTGCCGCCCCAGCCCTGGGATTACACGCAGGTGTCACTGTACCCAGCCGTTTATGTAGGTGCTGGGCAGCTGAACTTAGGTCCTCATGCTTACACACCAAGCCCCAAATGATAGATTTAAAGTTTTTAAGAAACATCTAAATTCTCCTTGGGGGCGTGCGTATAGAAATAAAGTGACCACCACAGAACACAATCATCCTGTCACAGACAAGGATGGAGTAGGGAGTGCCGAGCAGCACTCATAATAGGTCTGATGCCTGGGCCTGCCTGTCTGCCACCTGCATGTCAGTAATGCCCACATGTTGGCTGGTGGGCAGGAGCCAGGTCTGCTTGTAGGCCCGGGATGTGGGCTGTGGCCTCTCGGAAGCACTGAGCAGGGATCAATGGTCTACTGTCACGGTGCTGAAATCCTCCTCAGTCTCCAGCACGGCTTGGGTCCCACCCCTGAGCAGCTGGCTTTGCAGCCGGCACACAGTAGGGCTACTCAACCATCCACGGCCTAGAGAGATGAGGGGCAAACACCCCAGGACACCTTCCCAAGGGACTCCGGGACGGACGCAGGGGCTGCACTTACGAGAGGGAGACGGTGAAGTGGAAGCGCTGCCGCAGGCCGCGGAAGGTGACGAAGGACTGAGGCGGGAAGCTCCTGGTGCTGACTTCACAGTAGGGACGCTCATACTCTCCAGGGGGGCACACGCAGTGGAAGCCGCCGATGAGCAGGTTCACACAAGTGCCCCCGTTTTTGCACACTCCACTTGCACAGCGGCCGGAGCGGACGTTCACCTGGCAGTGCTCCCCTGAGGACGAGAGGCAGAGGTCACACAGAGACTAAGGAAGAGCCAGTGGGCCTCAGATACCCCCCGAAACACAGTCAGCTACTGATGAGAAGGTTCCTGCTTAGAGGCTGAGATGCCCTGGGACATCCAGACCTGGGCGTTTGGAGGACCTTGCTGAGCCAGGTTACAGACCAGTGTCTGCTGGTCCCCACATCGGAAGTATAGCACCCATTTCAGGGGGTGACCTGAGGATACTGGGTCTTGGGGCATCCCTAAGGTATCCCCTGGGAGGTCTCCTCCACTAAGTGTGTCGAGGCTGAGTGCCAAGACTACTCAGCAGTAGACACTTAGCAGCTCCCAACCCCACTGCAGAAATGGACTCTCCTTCTAAAAGGACAGCCTAAAAAGGGCCAGGAGGTCCCCTCCTCCCCATACATCCATGCCATGCCTGAGTGGTTGCTGAACACGTCAGAGTGTCACTAAACCTCAGGAGCACCCCAGCACCCTGAAGGGCTTCCAAAGTCTCTCTGCTGCCTCTCACAAAGGCCCCTTGCACAATAACACGACCAATGCTAGATTCCAACTCTGCAATCACCTGCCTCTCCCATCAGCTTATGGGTTCCCTGAGGTAGGCACCCCTGCACTTTGGGGTCTCCTCACAGCCTAATCCCTCTCACAACAAGGTTCTGGAAGCCTTCATAGGGAGCCAGGTGAGGAAGCTTACAGCTCACTTTTCTTCCTAAGGCCCCCACTAAGCAGAGCTCAGAACCTCTCCCGGACACACAGACAGGGAGGGCACCTTCAAGTGCAGGCTGGCGCAATGCTCATTCACCAGAGGGGGATGATGGTCCCCAATGCACACAGTCTGACACCTGCCCTCTCCACTTGGACCATGCAGGAGGCAGTCAGCTGAGCCTGCAACTGCCCTCCTGGGGGACCTAACAAACACTCCCTAACAACATTCTTTCCCAATTATTGATTTTGGGGTGGGGAGTTAGGGGGAACAGGGCTTTTTTGAGATAGGCGCTCTGTAGTGGAGGCTGGTTGGAATTTAACCATCTTCCTGCCTCTGCCTTCCAGGTGATGGGAGTATTACAGGTGTGCACCACCACACCCAGTTACTGATTTGTAAAAGAATACATTTTAAAATAAAAGCTCAACCTTCACCTGCTAAAACAGCCACAATGCAGAGTTAGTCTACAGAAACTTCTAGAACAACTGCACAGGAGGGAATGGCTCCTGTGAGGTGTCCATTAGCTTCCCTACTGCACGCAGTTCTGGGTGTTTGGGGTCTTCCTGTCCCCACTGATGGGGCACGGGCAATTTACAGTTTGCTTTTATGGCAGTAACAGTCCTATAACCATCTTTGTGGACAAACTTTCATGTATTAGGGTCAGGAGGAAATCCCTCGCAGTGCTGGGTCAAAGGCAGACTGCAACACACCACAATCTGCTATCTTCAAAGTGCTGCACAAACCTACTATAATATTCATACATTGGTACATTGCCAAGCGCTGTCTGAGCTCCCCACACACTTCAGACCCAAACATGTTTTATGTCAAATGTCTTCCAAAGGCCTCTGTAGGTGGAACATTTCCAAGGGAGGCTACTATTGTTTATCCCACAATATAAAAGTGTCTGCGGTGGGTGGGGAGGAGACAGGCACTCACCCCTGGGGAGCTTGGAGATGACCCTCCCTCTCAGCTGGGAGCTCCAGCTGGCTGCCTCAGTTTCCCAGGCCATCAGCCCCTGATTTGATGATGTCACCTTTCTGCCATTATTTGTTTCTTTGCCTGGAAGCCTCACCTGAGGAGACACTCTGTTCCGCCCAGGACTCTATGGGGAACTCCAGCGGACTGTCTCAACCCAGCTTCCCCTGCACCTGATAACACTTTGCTACGCATCTGTGGCATCTCTCCACCTGTCACTGGCTATGTATTCTTTTACCTTTGCCTACTATGTACGTAAAAAACTCACTTGGAGCCGAAGGCAAAGCCTTCGTACGTAGATCGTTCTTCAGAATACACTGAACTACAGTGTCACTGATGACCTAGTGGGAGGTGGCAGGTCTTTGGACACCAAGCTCGGTTAATGCCTGTGTTGCAGGAGTGGGTCAGGACTCAAGGCCTGGATGGAAGGAAATCAAGCTTTGTCAGCTCACCCTCTTGCCTCCCTAATGCCATGTGATGCAGTCAGGTCCTCAAGCAGACAATTGTGCACCCAACCTTGGGCTTGGAGCCTCCAGAACTTTGAGCTAAATAAACTGCTCTTCCTTATAAAGTACCAGCCTTGAATAGTTTGTTACAGCAACACAAAACAAGAGGAAATCACATGTTGTCTTAATCTGCTGGGGCAGAGACCACAGACCAGGTGTCTTAAACAACACATACGCATTTCTCATGGTCTGGAGGACAGACGGTCAAGATCAAGGTGCCAGTGCTGGTAGCTGGCAGGCAGATAAGACCGCAGCCCCTTATGTCCTCATATTATAGAGATAAAGAGACAGAAGGAGAAGAGGAAATTCACTAGCTCTCTGTGGCTCTTCCCCTAAGAACACATACGCATTTCTCATGGTCTGGAGGACAGACGGTCAAGATCAAGGTGTCAGTGCTGGTAGCTGGCAGGCAGATAGATCGCAGCCCCTTATGTCCTCATATTACAGAGATAAAGAGACAGAAGGAGAAGGGGAAATTCACTAGCTCTCTGTGGCTCTTCCCCTAAAGGCACTAATCCCATCACAAGGGCCCCACCCTCATCTCATTTAATCTTAAATCCTTCCTTGCAAATACAGTCACACTTGGAATTAGGACTTCAACACATGAACCTGGGGTTGACACAGCTCCATTACAGACCCTGGAGAAAGTGCGGCCTTCGGAAAAACTGGATAATGATGACCTGAACTCTACCATCAATTTTTATTAAAAAAATAAAAGGAGAAATCAGAAGCTGTCCAGGGAGGGAGACACAGTAAACTCCCAGTGGGCCTCCAGTGCCCCCACCCAGCACCAAGTCTCTGGGATCTAGTTGCTCCCAGCTGACACCCCCTTGCAATGTCCCTCAGCACAAGAAGCTGCCTGACTCCAAGTGGTAGCTTGGAGTGGTAGCTCACACCCCATGATCACCAGGGGTACAGGCAGTGGCGCTCAGTCCAGTGCTCTCAGTAGTTGAGGGGGTACCCCAGGCAGCCCTACCTCTGTCTGTCCCTAGCCAGCTGCCCAATGACCAGGTTATGGCTTCCAAATAGGAGACTCCAGTGCTCAGAACACTTGCTGCCCGGGATGCCAGGGAAGCCAGCTTCTGACGGATACAGGCGGTACTGAGTGTAGGGAGGTCCTTCTGACCTCACAGGGAAATGCACAGGAGGAGCAAAGGGCTCTTTTGTGATCACATGACAACCACTAGCAACAAGCAGAGTTTCTGAACTCTCCTGTCTCCTCCTCTGGGTCCTACCCCATCTCAAGTCCCTGTTGGCAAGCCGCAAGAACCCAACTCAACACAGGCGATTCCAGTCTGACCCTCCCAAAGATAGAAGGCTGGGACCACTGACCCACACTGTGCGGGCCACCACGAAAGGACCCTAAGGTGGGTCACTGACCCACTGCAGACCGCCACACTGTGCAGGCCACCACAAAAGGACCCTACGGTGGGTCACTGACACACTGCAGACCACCACACTGTGCAGGCCACCACGAAAGGACCCTAAGGTGGGTCACTGACCCACTGCAGACCGCCACACTGTGCGGGCCACCACAAAAGGACCCTACGGTGGGTCACTGACCCACTGCAGACCGCCACACTGTGCAGGCCACCACGAAAGGACCCTAAGGTGGAATCACTGACCCACTGCGGACCGCCACACCGAGCGGGCCACCATGAAAGGACTCTAGAGCTTCTGGTGCCAAACCAGGCCTGGGTCAAGAGAGTGTGCTCTCACCCACCCACCTATTCTGCACTGGCCAGGATGTGCCAAGAGAGACAGGAACAGAGAGAGGCAGCCACCACATAGAATTAAATGATGATACAGCCACCGCCTGGCCCTCGCCATCTCAGTTCCATGACATTGGACACGTCTCAACTTCCAGCCACTCCCAGTCTCCAGGGCTCTGCCCACCACAGCGGGAAGCTCTGCATTCACACATTCACACACACACGTATGGCCTCTTACACACACGCAAACTTTCACATGTATACACAGGACCCCTTGCATGCACATGTACCACCTTGCACATGCACCCACTCCCTCGGCCCTCTCCGCAGCCCACACGTTCACACCTTCGCTCTCCTTCCCACCTTGCCCAACACATACCTCCACACTGAGCTTTCACACATGACCTCACACACACGCACACACACATATACACATGATTGTCCCAGGTCACAAACTCATACCATTACACCCTCACACACATGCTCACGTTCATGTTTGTTAACACAGTGTCACATACACCTCACACTCACAGTCTTGGGCATAATCTCATCTCATACACACATTCACACACCTTCACAGGCCATGCTACATATGTACATCCTTGTACACACACTAACATATATAGGCATGCTTTTACACACTAACGTACACGTACACTCACACACAGTAACACATGTACACACAAACAGCTGTATACCCAACACAGAGCTGTACACCCACACAAAAACACACACACATAAACACATGTATACATACTCTCACCACACCAACACATGTACACACTAACACATGTATACGTGCACTCACACACAGTGACACATGTATACACACACTAACAGCTGTATACACTCCCCTCCAAACTAACATACATACACACACTCTCACACACACCAACACACACTCACAGTAACACATGTACACACACTCACACACTAATACAAGTACACATACTCTCACACACTAACACATGTACACACTCACACACAAACACATGTACGCACACATTCTTAAACACACTGACACATGTATGTAGTACATACATTCTCCCACAAGTGAGACAGTGCTCCCCGCCTCCTCTGCAGCCCTTCTGAGTG